GATTGTTGTTTGTGATATATATGGACACTTTGTGATATGGACACTTCTCAAAAACTTTTGGTTGTTGTTCAACTGTTTCTTGTTGTTGTTGCCGTTTAACTTTTATCTATTACATCAGTATTTGATTTTTTTGTTTAAAAAAACGACGATCTTTGCTGTTTCTGCAAATGTTTCATCTTTTCCTTTTTTTCGTTTCTTCATCTTCTTCATTTCACTTTTACATTTTCTACTTCTTTTGTGATGTTTTTCAGACGTTTTTTTGATCTATCTTTTTTTTTCACTCTGTTTAAATATTTAGGGTTTTGAATAATGGCGTAAGAAAGTCAAAAAATTAGAGGCAGTAAGAGAAAGCTGAAACTGTGGACAGAACAAAGAAGTGTAAGTCAAGGGAAATACGACGAAAGCGAAAACAATGCACTGTCAAAAAAAAGACGTATGAAGTTTTTAGGAAAAATACAGAAGGGAAGGAGGAAAGAAAAAAAAGCAGAAAGTGTGGAAAAAATTTAATTACAACAAAGTCTTCTCCTTGTTTTGCTCATAGAACAACCAGAAAAAGAAGGAAAAAAAAAACGGAGAGCTTAATAAGCATTGAAACAGCGAGGAGTTCTGACATTATTTTTACCGAAGCAAAAAAAAATAGATTTAAGAATGAGAAGCAGTAAAAAGTATTTGGTTATTATACACTAAATAATATCATCAAGTTACATAGCACCACCAGTATTTGTATTCTGAAAATTAATTGAAAACATTTGCTTTCTTTTTTATTTTATTTTTTGCTTTTTCTTTAACAGATAACTGTACAAACGACTTGTAAAAGGCATAACTGATAGTTGGTATTATAGTATGCGACGTCTACGTGCACGATATTTTGATATGTATAATTTTGAATAGCGTCATCGAAGAAATAACAATTTTTTTTTTCACTTTTTATTCTTCTTATTATTGCTTTTCGCAGGCTGCATAGAATGAGTCACCGGTGGATAATTTTCAGTTCAGCCTTAGTTGGGGGAGCAGCATGTGTTGCAGCAGCAGTTTATCTGTACAGAAAACGACGATGGGAAAAACAGTTTTTACTGATCGGTAAAGTATCCCAACTAACCATATATCCTGTCAAATCAATGAAAGGAGTACGATTTAATTTTTCTTCTAATTCTTTTCATCTAATTTACAAGTTTTGAATAAAAATTAAAAAATTTTTTTTTTTTGTTTTTATCTTTTTGAATGACCAAGTTTGTTGTTGTTGAGCAACAGTTACAGCAGCAACAATTTGGCATTGGTCAAATAAAATGGTCATATAAAGAAGCGAGTTAGGAATTCAAACTTTGGTTTTTAGTTGACAATAATGTTTTAGGTAAATGTTACTATGATGCAATGTGAAGAAATGGGTGGAAAATATCGTGAAGTTAGGGATAGACATTTTATATTGATGGATGGAGATACTGGTAAACTTGTTACGGGTAGACAATTCCCTAAACTTTTGACAATATCAGCCAATATTCATGTAATTAATTGTTTCTTGTTTTCTTCGTACCTATGCAGTAACAAATAAATTGTTTTCCTTTTTTTTTTTTTTTTTTTTTTTTTTTTTTT